GAGAGAGAGAGAGAGGAAGAGAAAGAGAGAGAGAGAGAGAGGAAGAGAAGAGAGAGAGAGAGAGAGGAAGAGAAGAGAGAGAGAGAGAGAGAGAGAGAGAGAAGAGAGAGAGAGAGAGAGAGAGAGAGAGAAAGAGAGAGAGAGAGAGAGAGAGGAGAGAGAAGAGAGAGAGAGAGAGAGAGAGAGAGAGAGAGAGAGAGAGAGAGAGAGAGAGAGAGGAAGAGAGAGAGAGAAGGAAGAGAAAGAGAGAAAGGAAGAGGAAGAGAAGAGAGAAGAGGAAGAGAAAAGAGAGAGAGATAAGGAAGAGGAGATAAGAGAAAGAGAGAGAGACAGGAGAAGGAGCAAGAGGAGAGAGGAGAAGGGAAAGAGAAAGAGAAGAGAGAGAAGGAGGAAAGAGAAAGAGAGAGAGAGAGAGAGGGAAGAGAAGAGAGGAGAGAGGAAGAGGAAGAGAGAGAGAGAGAGAGAAAGGAAGAGAAAGAAGAGAGAGAAAGGAGAGAAAGAGAGAAGAGGAAGAGAGAAGAGAGAGAGAGAAAGAGAGAGAGAAGAGAGGAGAGAAAGGTAAAAAAAGAGAAAGAGAGAGAGAAAGGAAGAGAAAGAGAGAGGGGGAAGGGGGGGGCGGAAGGAGAAACCTTGATTGCTCTTTCATAATTCGAGCAGTTTCCTTTCCATACTAGAAATTTCCCTTCGAACTGTTTTAAAAAGACACATTCACTGCGTGAACATTCACACATTACGTACATCCTCGCCTTGGGTAACATTCAGAGTTGGTTTCCATTTTAATAGATTCCATCTAGAGCATTTATATAGTTCCTTTGGTGAATGTAAAAGACCTGACTGCATGAAATTAACGTTTCTCTGCCCGTCTGCGACACGGTTTTAGATAATTATTTACTTCGGAGGTGCCTATTCAGGAAAGAAAATGTATCCTGAAAACTATGCTTTGCTTTTACTTTTAAAATCACCACTAAAATGCGGTTTAATTAGAGATATTTTCCACGTGACCAGCCCGTATAATCGTACTCAGCTCAATTCCGCTGGTGCAGCCATCATCAATACTACATTTACCAACATAAAAATGCAACATTATAACATTTCGACTGATTCACACGAGCGAAGATTGAACGTATTCAGCAGTTGCACGAGTCGCGGTTTTCCCAGTCATATATTACAACGGGAAATGATAATTACGGCATTTTTCTCTCTTCGTGCTCTCTCACGCTTGAGTGTCACGTAACTTATTTTTCATTTGCGACGGAAGTACATAGAAGACAAGTTTCTTAGATTCATTCGCTCTGTCAATTCCATATACTCATAAACGATGACTGTATGAAACTTAACAATTACAATATTCTTATATCTGTCACATTTAACTATTCTCAACACAGCCCGCGGTGTTGCTTTTTTGCCTTCCCCTGTGGCCTGCGAGGGAACTTCCGTGCCCCTACACACCAGCCTTTCGCCCTCGAGGACGACGGAGCGCATGAAAGTGGTTGAAGAAACAGTTACGGATTTTCATTGCGCTTTTAGGCGAAGCGGCCGACCAACATAAGAACTAGATCTGAAGATTCATACCTACATTATCCACAATAAAAAAGGAAAGGGATCATTAAAAGAAAGTAGAGTTCCTTACAGTAAATAATTAGCCATAAATTGCATTTGAGTTTATACAATTGTAAACACTAACTATTCAAACTTAGTAAATTTGTTATTCCCCTTCCCTTCAGGTTAATATTACCGAGAGCAGACAGAGGGAAATGGTCAAAGCCATTTTATAGAGCATAAGAAATAGAATAATAAACGTAACATGTTCAGATGCTCCGGCCTCATATTTACCGCGAAATGAAAATATCTGTTGCATATCACCGCTCAGAGACAAGTCCACAACACCCTCACACAGCCAATTTTTAATGTCGCGTTTTCTGTAATTTGGCACGAAGTCCTAATAAAAAGGGCTTGCTCCCCTGTCTAAGGAATAAAGAAAAGATAGTAAAGGTTAGGTCTGGATTTTGGGTTCGCATGATACCTTGACTGAGGAACTTCTCACGATAACAAATACAAACTCTTGTGATTGCGTGTGCCTTTACTTACTTCAGCCGAGACAGTGATGTTACATTTGCGCCATTAACGTCCCTCCTTCGCCATTCCTCTTCCCACCCTTCTCTCCACCGCCCTTGATTGTCAGCCACACACTAACAAGTCAATCAAGAGTTCGAACTCAAGTGAGTCAAGTCCTCGCTGTTCGCACCCTCGCTCTCGGAGAGTAAATTCTGCCATCGTATTAAGTCTTTGATAAAGGTTGGGCAAGCTACAGTATTTTGTATTTGACTCCAGTCTTATTGTCTTTTGACCTGAAGCTGATGTTTATGCTATATTACTGAGGCATTTACTTGGTATGACTATAACTGGGGATTATGCTATTCTGATTTGAAACGAGACTTTACTGATAGTTCAAAGGCAGTGCTGAAATGGGCTCATAACCTTTCGGTTTGTTTCACATTTTTAATGAGTTCTGCTTAATTGGGTTTTATAAACAGGTTGGTTTATATATCATTCAGTGCTATTAATCTTTGGAAATACACTAAAATGTGTTAGTAAGAAGTGAAACGGCAGTCTGGTATCCTGACTACGTCAGCTGGAGAGGACCGAAAGCATGCACGCATGCACACACAGATTTACACAGACACTCGCACACGCGCACGTAAACACACACACACACACACACGCACACGCACACTCACACACGCACACACAGACACACACACACACACACACACACACACACACACACACACACACACACACACACACAGACACACAGACACACTCGCACACACACACACACACACTCGCACACACACACACACACACTCGCACACACACACACACACACACACACACACACACACACACACACACACACACACACACACACTCGCACACACACACACACACACACACACACACTCACACTTACACACACACTCGCACACACGCACACACACACACACTCGCACACACACACACACACACACACACACACACACACACTCACACTCGCGTGCACACACACACAGACACACACACACACACACACACACACACACACACACACACACACACACACACACACACACACACTCACACTCGCGTGCACACACACACAGACACACACACACACACACACACACACACACACACACACACACACACACACACACACACACACACACACACACACACACACACACACACACACACACTCGCACACACACACACACACACACACTCGCACACACACACACACACACACACACACACACACACACACACACACACACACACACACACGCGCGCGCGCGCGCGCGCGCGTGCACGCACCAACTCAGCCATACACCAACAAACCTTCACAAATGCAAATCAGTTTCAGGAATTGCATTAGCAGTCCGTATCACAACGTAACGTTTAGACAATTTGTATCTCATACAATGACGAATTGGGGCAGAAGGGATAAGGGATTTTGACGGCAGCAGAGGGGAAAGTAAAAAACAAACAAACTTGTAGCTTGTGATTTACAAATGCCGTTTAGGAACTTGAAAGTCATGGGGCAGCTGGGGTGGATAATTCCTTTAGTAAGGGGAATCTCCCCTACCCCCTGTAGGTCCGCCATTTGTCATAAATAAACAACGTATCTTAAAACGCACCCGGTGGATTATGTAACATTCATGTAAACTAATCTCTTATCAAAAGTACGTAATCTTTTTTCCAAGATCATTGCCGTTTTTAAATCGCCACCACCTAAACCTGTACGAGCCGTACGTTTGATTCGTAAGACCTGATTAAATATTATCGCCTTATCTAAATGGTGGTATTTCTCCCTTTTGGGCGCAGAACTCCGCTGGTAGCGGTGGGGAACCGTATAAAGAGACTCCAAGATTTGAGGTGATTTTGCCCCGCCCAAGCTGTTCGTCGTGGCTGATCCCTTATATAATTAGGGACGGGGAAAGGACCGCCGTGTCGATCTTTGCCCCGTAGTATTCGTTGGCCTCCGCTAACAATTGCCAATCACTTCATTGATTACTAATGTGGCGATTAGTAATTAATGAAGGCACAGATTGTTATCATAGCATTTATTTTCTAATTTCAACAAGTATCGAACTCATCTGGCAGACAAACGGAAACATTTCACCATTGGCGCAAAGTAGCTTATTTCCTCACTGACAATATTAGGGCCAATGGGGATTTATGGAATACAAACCACAACTACAAGAGTAGGACGCTGATAAGGATGAAGTAGGCTGACATGAGCAGACATCTACAACAGGAATGTCCACATAATTACGCACATTTCGGTCTGTTAAACTGTCTAACCCACAATCGTGTTAGTTCGTAACCCACAATCTACTCATCGCCCTTTTTATGTGCTAAGGAAAAACACAACTAACGTATATCCAGTTAGTACTGCTTCCCTTGAGAGCGCTATGATCGCCATGTTAACCTATCGCGGGTCAGGAGGCGTTCCGCGGGGATTGTGAACCAAGGTCCATATAAGTATACTTATATAGACCTTGTCGTGAACAGGCCTTTGATATCACAGGATGAGAACGGGGTGGAAGGGGACCAGCTGTCATAAAGGCTGAGGCTTAAGCGAAGCGATGGTTGCGTCATTTACAAGTACCGTGTTCGAAAAAAACGTAAATTCGGCGTTTAGTTGAATTCTTACGGTATACTTTAAATTATATAGAGGATGCCACATTGTTTTACCTTTCCCTTTTTTATTAGTGTTATGTAGTAATAAATTGTTATACAGATTGTTCTTTCGGGGTCCTGATGTATGTCCATTGCCCTTTAATATTACTCTTGCAGGCCTAATTCGCTCATGTAGACAAAGACGAGCCTTCGATTTTATCTGTATATAACCTTTGCTTTGTATTCCTTCATATACATCCCGGAAATTCAGACAGGATACAAGGGAATTGAAGGAAGATAAAAGAAAAAAGGTG